CAAAAAAATATACCGCTAAACGTTTGCAGTTCGCAAACCAACATCTGAATTGGCCCATCGAAAAATGGCGCAACGTATTATGGACTGATGAATCAAAAATAGTTCTTTATGGAGGTACAGGTTCAAGACAATATGTAAGACGTCCATCTAATACAGAATTCCAGCAAAAATATACCATTAAGTCTGTAAAACATGGTGGAGCCAAAGTCATGGTATGGGGCTGTTTCTCATATAATGGTGTCGGACCTATTTATAAGATTAATGGTATTATGGACCAACATATATATGTCAATATCCTCAATAATGTCATGCTGCCTTATGCTAATGAAGATATGCCGTTAAAATGGGTCTTTCAACAAGACAACGACCCAAAACACACTAGTCGCAAGGCAAAAGAGTGGTTTCAGGTCAATGGAGTTGAGGTTATGGAGTGGCCTGCTCAGTCACCTGACCTAAACCCCATTGAAAACTTATGTGGAGACGTTAAAAAAGCAGTTTCTACTGCTAATCCAACTAATGCTCAGCAGTTATGGGAAGCTACTCAACAAGGATGGTACGCAATACCAGCAGAAAAATGTCAATGCCTAGTTGACTCAATGCATCGGCGTTGTGAAGCCGTTATCGCAAACAAAGGTTTTGCAACAAAATACTAAGGGTAAATATTGTTATATTAGACTTATTTTTAACTTTATAATGTTCAAAAGTTTGCAATTTTAATGTTTAATACCATAAAAAATAATTTTTTTTCTATTTTCAGATACCACTGCTATTTTAATGACTGCGAGCTTTCTTGATATTATTGTTTTTTTTTCTGAAATAAAATGTAAAACTATTATTGATGTAATTTTTTTTTGTTTTATTAGATTGAAGTGTCAAAATAAATGCAATAAATTTTTTTCAGTAATAAGTAAAAAAAAATTGCGCAATAGTTTTCAAAATATTCCAGGTACTGCTATTTTCATGCTCACAACTGTATGTCCTAAACGTTTTAACACATTAAAAAAATTAAATTCATAAATATTCTTTTGTAATTAAATGTTTTTATATTAGGAAAAGCACTTCCAAACTGAGCAATGATTTACTTTTATTAATCCTTTATAAAAAGAAAATTTTTAATTTTATTTTTTAAATTATATAAAGTCAAGTAAGTTTTGTTGAAAATTATATAAATGATTATTTTTTTATTTTTTAAACCTATTTTTTTTTAAAATATTTGTATGATTTTATAAAAATAGTATAAAAATAAGGCTTTCAACAACTGCATTTTTAATAAAATTTAAAAAATAATAACCAAAGTTGGTAAAATTATTAATCAAATAAACATACAGAAACTTACAGGTGACTGAACATAAACATACATATATACATAGTGATTAACAAGTAAATGAACACTACGCCAGAGGTTGGAACAAAACACAAACAGACATTTATATAATGTGACTTAATGGTGAACTAGCACTGCACTAGAGGTTCCTACAGAACACAAACATACAAATATATAAAAAAGCCCACACACTATACACTTAAGCCACTCACTTACCTTTTTAATTTAAACATAAAAGTTTGCTTTCTTTTAATTTGATGCAATAAAAATGTGCTTTTAGTTTACAAAAGACAAAGTAACATCATATTTACTTAGAATGTAATATGACCTTTATATATTAATTTATAATATATACTATAATATAATAAACCGATGTACTTAAGTAAAATATAAAGTTATTAAATGTATACATAGTCTGCAGTTTGAATACTGATCATTATAGACTACTGTTTCAGGGGTCTGGCGCATTGCAGAATTTTTTAAAATATTTCAAAGACACTGCTAAAAGAAAAGATCATTATAACATTTTTATAATAACACAACAACTTTTTATTATTTTTTTTGTTAATCTTACTTAAGAAGAATTGTTTTAAATATTTTAAACTTTGCAAATTACACAAACCATGAAATGGTTATAAAAATATATTTACTTTTTTTATTAATTATATAATTCAATAATCATTAGGTTTTATTAGAACCTTGTTGAAATAAAACATAAATATGAAATAAAGAACTATATTATACTCTATGATAAAATGAAAAACTTTAGTTTCTTTACTAAACAATCAACAATAGTAAGTTGTTAATTTTTATAAAAGCGTCGCTTAATTTTATAAAAAAAGTTTTAAAAGAGAGAAGTTAATAATTAATTTATTCTAAATGTAATTTATTTTGTTTTAGTTAAGTTTTCTTTGTTAAGAACTCATTCCTTTTTTTAGTTAATTTTTTAAGTAGTTGTTTCCCGTCAAGTTAATTTATTTTGTTGCGCTTTTTGAAAAATTCTCAAAACATCTGAAAAGCGGTGGCCAAGTTGTCGCAACAAAGTATAATTTGCGCGGTCAGGAATAAACTAGAATTTTAGTGCCAAATAAGTAAATATATGACTTTCACGCAATAGCTTATCAAGGGCACGACAAATCTTTTTTTTTTAAATAAACGTTGACCTTTACTTATTGACGAACGTTCAATTTACGAGGTATATGTCAAATAAGGGAGTTTTGTTTTTAATTAATTTTTTTATTTAAATAATCTTTTATAAGAGAGTTTTTATAATAAACTATAAGAGAGTTTTATTTTTAAATAAAAACTTTTATTCTAATTGATAAGTTATTAGATATATTAAAGATGCTTATTAAATTTAATCAATTTTTTACTTTTTCAATACAATTTTTCATGCGTTGACAAAGTGCGCACAGAGAATTTTTCACGCATTTACAAGTGCAAAGGCCGTTTACCACGAGACAAAAAATTGCGCGAAGAGAATTTTTCGGTCACAATGAAACGCTTTTCTGATTTCCACATATTATTTTTCTTGTAACTATTTTTGTTATCAATAATAAAATGGCAGCTTTATGCTGTATGCTTTAAAAAATATATGTATATAATATTAATAAAAAAAAATTGTTTTTGATATAATATTTTTTTAAATGTTTAAGAAAATAAATGCTTACTTCTCATAGGAACACTTCTGTAGAAAAACTGTTACTGCAAGAAGCAACAGATGGTTTAACTCTGAAAGAAGACAAACCTTCTTGTGAAGTGATATTTTTGAAAAAGACAGCATTAGTAAATTCATCTTTATTTGATGAATTTACTAATGCTTGCCAATTTTTACGGTGAATTCCAAGTAAATCAATAACAACACCAAGTTGAGCATTTTGTTTATTATTGCTGTTGTTTGTTGTTGTTGTTATTATTTAAAAATAATGTGTTTTCGTCTTTTTTTTTACTGTTGACTTCACATGATATACTATTTAAATATGATTGGTTTTTGCTCATAAAAATCTGCGAAAAGGATATTTTTTGTTACAGTGAATTTGCGAATGATTAGCAAAATTAACAGAAATATTTTATACGCACATGCTTAATGACAAAAAAATTCGCTTAGGGATCATCCATAAATTACGTAACACTAACTTTTACAATAAACAAAATAAAAAAAATTAAAAGTTTTTCCTTGGAGAGTCTTAATTTAAATAAAAAATTAAATTAGCCCATTAAATTTAATAAAAATCATAGCACAAAAGAGCTTAATATCTCCTACTTCTGTTTTTTAAATTTATTTTGCGTTGAGTAATTTATGGACAATCCCTTACTGCAAAAATTTTGAACTATAATAAACAAAATAAATATATATAATATATTGTTATATATATTTTAACAAAACTTAAAAATTCTTTTCAAAAACTTTTAAAAGTGTTTTTTGTATGCAAACAAATATTACTTCACTTTAAGGAAAATAACTTTTTTTAAAAAAAATAAGCACGCTTTTCAAAAAAAACAATTGTTTAAGCAGGGTTTCTTTCAAAGTAATAGCAAATACATTCATTTTAAGTAAAATTTTGGGCCCTTTTGTAAACACATGTAAAATAAGCATGTAAAGACTTATGGGAGCATCTTAATAACTACATTAAAAAAATATATATGTACGTGTCAATTTTATCATTTTGCATAGAAACAGATAACTCTGATGCAATTGCCAGTATATCAATACACATAGTTAAAAGAAATAGCATTTTACTGTCACTTTGAGGGAAATCCATCTAGTACCGTTGCATTTTCTAAGTCAATATCCACCAATGTCAAATTTCATTTCTTCTTTGTAAGCATTGTGGATTTCTTTTACTTGACACAGTTTTTTTGGTGCTCTTTTGTAAATATAAAACAAATGTAGAAGCATTTCATCAACGTCATTAAAAGCTGATTTTGATAAAACATTCTTTAGTGCAAGCTCTAAGCAATGTGCATTATACCATATAAATACTATCCAGGGTGACTTTCTACTTTTTAGACCTTTCTTAGATCTTTTTCATAGATCTAAAAAAGATTTTTAGCAAAGTTAATTTGCTCACTGATATTCTTTAATTGCACATTTTACGCTTGTTTTGAATAAGCAATAATTTTTTTAATTGGTATTATTAAAAGAAGCTGTTATTGAATAGCCATTAACACTACAAAAAATAAAGATCACTTTAATTAGGATTCAATGCTTCCGCTATCAACAAATTTTATAAATTTGTTTAATAGTTTACATTAAGTTTAAGTTTATTAACTTTAAATCAACAAATGAAGTTTTTTTTTTGTAAAATTCATAATCTTGTAGGTCAAAATGTCAGATTACTTTGCAAATTGATCAGACAATCTGAAGTTTTAGCTGGACAATGTCTGATATACAATCAAGTATACATACGTAATACATACATACATACATACATACATACATACATACATACATACATACATACATACATACATACATACATACATATATGTATGTATGTATGTAATAAAGGAATAAATTTAGTAATAATTGAGTAATAATGAAGTATAACACTTATGATTTATATAGTTAGTTAGAACTTTAGTTATTAATAGTTTTTAAAATAACATTATTATTTGATAACTTAAATTATTATACAAATTAATTAAAAGGCATTTAAAAAGTATAAAAATATACCACGCAATTCATTATTAATTTGTTCTTTTATCATATTGACAACATTATCTGTAGTTGGTTGAAAAACTGTTTCTTTTGTAAATCTAATTTTTTCTTCAATACCATCAAGATAACAAGGATCAACTTCATTAACTGCCTTCAATATAGCAATTATTTGTGGCTTTGATAAACAAGTATTCTTGAAAAGATTATTTAAATGAAAACCCTAAAGAAATATAGTATGTGTATTGTTATACTCCACACATCTTTTATAATTAAAATATTTATAAAAAAAATATTATAAAGTCTATCAATTATTGCATCAATTTCTGAATCAAACTCAAATGTAGAATAATTTTTCAGCATTGTGATACTAGTAGATACTATTTCCTAACACTTATTGACAAAAAAAAAACAGTATAATATAGCACAACTGAGTAAAAAACTGATAGTATATATAGTATAGCAAATAAAAAACATTTTTACAAGCATGGTCACCACCAATTTGCAATCCTAAAACTGCTCTGGAAGACATTTTAAGAAGCTTGCATAATTAAAACTGTTAATAACATACTTCAACTTTACAAATACAAAAACACATGGTCTCTCTCCCTCTCTCTCTCTTATATATATATATATATATATATATATATATATATATATATATATATATATATATATATATATATATATATATATATATATATATATATATTCAGGGTATTAGCCAACCTGCATATAAAGCGAAATTCCTAATTAGTTTAAAATTCCTAAAGGTTCAAATTCATAAAGGTTCAAGTTTTTTGCTAGACACATAGCAAATACTAATTACATTATTAGTTGATTAATTTTTTTTAGTATGAAAAAAAAACATTCTCATTAACAAGCAAGATCAATCATTCGAAAGTTTAAATATAACTTTATTTTTTAATTGACGACTGCTATTCTCTTGTTTAGATTTTTTATTTATTCTTATTATTCAAAAACTCTTTATTTACATTTTTACTATTTATCTTAAGTTAGAAAAATTACAAAAATCATTGCATAATAAATAGTAATAAATAATATAATTTATAATAAGTTATTAAATTTTTTATATTAAAGGAATTAAAAATACTTTAGGTAAACTAAATTTGCTGGTAAAGTATACCAAAAATAACAACAAAGAAAAAATCAAAAAACAAACTTGCAATGAAATGTATTGTTTATGTTATATTTGTGTAAAATATAACAAAGATAATTCAATATACATAAATTTTTATAATATTTTTCTATTTTATATACAAAAATAATATTTATAAAAACATAAGTTAATTTTTTTTTAAATTTACAAATACAAAATTTACGTAAATTTTGTAATTGTAAATTTTAAAAAGAAATTATATTTATATTGAAATATTTTTTCATATTTAAATACCTAGTATACTAGATATTTAAATGTACTGAGTAAATTTACTTGCTGCCTTTGTGCATTGAATCTCTGTGCCCCTTAAGAGCATTTGCTGCTTATTTAAATTAATTCTAAAAAAGCAAATTGGAATGAAAGTTTGCTTAACTATCTTCTATTTGACCGAAATTGGCGAAGCAAATTTTGGTCAAATAGATCACATCACCAAAGCGGTGTATTATTTTATTTATTTTTTTGACACACCTTAATTCCCAATATCAAGAAAATGCATAAAAGTATAAATTTTTTGGGCTAAGACCCTGATATTATGTATACAGTATGTGAAAAATTGTCACCAAGTTTGAACAAAGACATATTTTATATATTTTTTAATAGAAGAAAAATCTTAGTTTTATTCATTAAGAACTAAAAAAGCTAACTAAAAATTTTCTTTTTTTAAATTTAGAGGATATTGAATTTTTTTAATGTAAAGTTCTAATGGTGACAATATTGTCATGAATGAAAGCAATATTGTCCACAATTACTTATACAACCTAAATTATTAGTTGATCTAGAAAGAAGATCGAAAAGGCATTGTTGGTTTCTTTGTAAAATCGAAGGATGTTGATATAGTCATCTTTATCTGATGACATCAACATCCTTAAAGTCAGACATTTCAAGTCCCCTCAAAAATGAGGCAGAACTGTAGGTAACATGATGTTCATGAAAAAACAATAATTCCAAGCACAAGGCTGTAAGACAATCAAATCTCTTCACAAGAAGAAATTAAGTCGTTGACTGGCCAGAACAAAGCCCTGACCGTAACCTACTCAAAAATTTATTGGAAATAGTTAAACAACAGATCATCAACTTTCCTACTCCACCTGAGAATAAGGATGAACTTTGGGTTTGTGTATAAGAGGTTTGGCACTAAAATTACTCCTAGGAATGCTGTAAATTGGTTGCTAGTATTCCTAAAAGAATTCAGGCTGTCATTAAATCTAAAGAAGGATACACTTGATATTAATTTATTACAATATGTTATTTGCTTTCATTCGCTTTACCATTAGCTCTTCACATAATTTTTTTTTTTTAAACTCAATATTTTCCAAATCTAATTAAAAAAGTCTCAAATCTAATTTATAAAACTAAAAATTTCATTTTTTTTTTTTTTCACAGCTTTTTTATTTTTTAAAAATATTTTTTTGTTCAAATATAGTGACAATTTTGTCACATACTGTATATATACACACGTGAAATTATTTACTTAAAGGTAACAAAAAATAACTTTCTCTGACTTAAAGGTAACAAAAAATAACTTTCTCTGACTTAAAGGTAACAAAAAATAATTTTCTCTGACTTAAAGGTAACAAAAAATAACTTTCTCTGACTTAAAGGTAACAAAAAATAACTTTCTCTGACTTAAAGGTAACAAAAAATAACTTTCTCTGACTTAAAGGTAACAAAAAATAACTTTTTCTGACTTAAAGGTAACAAAAAATAACTTTCTCTGACTTAAAGGTAACAAAAAATAACTTTCTCTGACTTAAAGGTAACAAAAAATAACTTTCTCTGACTTAAAGGTAACAAAAAATAACTTTCTCTGACTTAAAGGTAACAAAAAATAACTTTCTCTGACTTAAAGTTAACAAAAAATAACTTTCTCTGACTTAAAGGTAACAAAAAAAGTTCAAATGATGTATTAAAGCTTAATCATAATTTTAAAAATTATTTTAAAAAAAATTTTTGCCATAGTTTTGTGATTGCACAAATGGATGACAGTACCAAATCAGTTTATACAATGAGTATGTTGAAGTGAGATAATACAAAAAATCAGTTTATACAATGAGTATGTTGAAATGAGATAATACAAAAAATCAATTTATACAAATGAGTATGTTGAAATGAGATAATACAAAAAATACTTTGAAATAAGATAATACAACTAATATGTTGAAATAAGAAAATTAAATGCAAAGCTTGAAAGTTTTAAACAAAGCCAGCTAAACCAAACAAAACCAGCTACACCAGACAATACCAGCTACACTAAATAAAACTATCTACGCCAAACAATTTAAAAGTAATTAGTGCCAGTGCACTTAACTACTATAATGTTGTATGCAAAGCAATATAACATATATCACTTTTTAATACAAACTAATTTTTTTTAATTCTGTTGTATAACATTTAACCATCCAAATGTGAAGATATCTCTTAAAAAACTACTGAATTACTTCATCACTTGTTTACACTTCACCACTTGCTTGCTTACACTACTAATAAAAAGGCAAATTGTATTTTAAATTTAAACATTTGAAATTTAAAATTTGTATTTAACACATTAAAGCAAAAATAAAGTTTGAACAAAAGAACATTTTTTTTTACTTTTTAAAAACTTGCCAAAAGCTTTTACTGAAAAGTCTGGATTGTTTGCAAATCACCCTATTAAACGCTTATCTGGTCACTTGTCTTCAGTGGCCTATCTGGCCACTTGTTTTCAGTTTGACACAAAAATCAAACAAACATTCTAAGAGTTGAGTAAAAGATACACAGTTGTATGGAAATTAATCTGTGAAAATAATCTCACACAAGAAAATAAAAAGGATTCAAAAACTAGATTTGTTCTGAAGTCTTTTTTTCAGCAAATTTATTTACTACTAATAAAATTGATCTCATTTAAAGAGTAATGAGTTATAAGTTTATGAGTTGTAAAGCTTATTGCATTATGTGGGGGAAATAATATTTCCCCCACATAATGCAATAAGCATAATTGCAATAAGCTTATTGCATTATGTGGGGGAAATAATATTTCCCCCACATAATGCAAATTACAACTTAAAAGTTGCTAAATTAGGATTCAAAGGTTATTGAAAGTTTTGAGTTGAAAAAAGAAACCTTTTTATCAGATTTAAATTTTAATTAATTAGAATTTAAATATGTTAGAATATATATATATATATATATATATATATATATATATATATATATATATATATATATATATATATATATATATATATATATATATATAAAACTCTTAGTGTCTCTAATTGGTTAAAAAAGAAAAAAGGAAAAAAAAGACACACATCTTGTACCTGAATTAATAAAATTGTAATTTTTTTCAACTTCAATATATGGTTTATTATTGACTTTTTCAACTCAGAAAAATTTACAAAAAATATTAAATCAAATAAAATTATTAAACTATTATTTGCACAAATATTTATAACATTAAAGATTATATTTAACTATTTTTATTTATAACATAGATTATATTTAAAATTGTATTTTTGTAAGTAGATAAAAATACAGCAAAAAACATTTAAGTTTGAAAAATTTAATTTCTTAAATAAAAAAAAAGACAAGCAAACAATGCTATAAAACTGTAGAGGCCATAGCCACTTATTCCAGCATAGGGATCAGCTGAGGATCAAAGAGAAGGGAGAAGGAAAAGACAATAAAAAATTCCTAATTTTGTAAAAATGCTGTTTTTGTTTTTATTTTCATAATTTTTCATTACCTTTAAAAACTATTAATAATAAAAGAATTATTTAAATTTAAACTATAAGATCTATATTTATTAGTTAAATTTAAACTATAAGAACTATATTTAAACTTCATCAGATATTCAAAAAATTTGCACTTTGTATTTTAAAATATGGTGTATTGAAAGAGGTAAAACCATTTTCTGATTACAAATTTTTAGTATGGTTGAATAAAAAAAAAATTGTCCATAACAGAAAAAAATCTCAGAATAGACAAAGAGGAGTAGATTTTAGAATGATAATATTAAATGTTTTTTAAATAAATACAGAATGACAATAGCAGATGTTTTTTAAATAAATACATAATGCAATTCTCTATAGCTAACTTTATAGCATATTATACCAATATAAGCCAATGTTTATAGATTGGAACGAGTAGGTGTTTAGCTGCACTACATTTGCTTTTTGTGAATAGTACAAATGAAATACACAGCACTTTCTATGGTAAGTATAACTATGGATGGCGCAAATATTCAAACTCAGGAGTGCCCAGACTTTTTATAATAAAGGCAAAAAAAAAAAATGAAAATATTTGGAATTGCAAAAAAAAATTTCTAATAAAGATAGGTTACAAGCAAATTATCTTTATAATCATTTTTATCAAAGCAAAGTAATAGGACTGGTGAACTTAAAACTAGTTATTCAATGCATGGGTTGATTTTTAAGGTAGATAGAAGTATCAGATTACAAAGATGGTTTTTAGTCAGAGTTGACATATAGTTTTTATATAGTTCATTTTTTATAATGATCTATAATAATATAATATCTATAATAATATAATATAGTTTTTATACAGTTCATTTTTTATATGATCTATAATAATATAATAATAACAAATCTAGGTTGAGCCATATTTGCAAATAAATCTAAGTGTTATGTTATTGAGTTCTGGAATATCATTATTTAAGACTAATTTCTAGAATGCTTTCAGGTCTGAAATAAAACTGCCACCACTCAAGTTATAAGAATTAGTTTCACGGACAACATCTCGTATCAATGGGCAACATCTTGTGTCAATGAACAACATCTCTTATGGTGTCAACTACAAACCAAATTCAAACAGTAATAATGATAATGATAGAGCTATAAAAATAGATGATAATAATGATAATGATTTTTAATTTTAGTTTACAAACCTCAATAATTACCTTACAAACATCAATAATTTTCAAAAAAGCATTTGGTTTGTGGAATTTTTGGTTCTTTAATTAAGATTTACACATTTATTTACTAACAACATTATACTAAAATAAAGATAGGTAAGTGCAACCACACAAACATCTAACAACAAGTTAGAGTATAAAAAGGTAGTAGAGACATTACCTGCTTTGTTACCTGTTTTTTAGAAGAAAAATTACTGAAATTTTCATACTATCAAAAAAAAAATGTTTTTAGCTCATTTTTATCTCCATTTTTTAGAAAAAATGTATCAACCTAATTTTTTAGAAAAAATGTATCAACCTAATGTATCAAAATGTATCAACAAAATGTATCAACCTAATTAATAGTACAAAAACAAAGAAAAGTAAAATATTCAAAGAATCTGAAAAAAAGTTTTTATTCATGCAGTTACTATATTTTACAATTTTCTTTTTACAACACAATTTATAACACAATTTAATAATTTATATTTTATAATACCATTGAACACATTTTAATAATTTATAATAGTTTGTAAAAAAAAAAACAACAACAACATTAAAACAAGCAAAATAAAACACCTTTTCCAGCATATCTTTGATTACTTCTTTTGTTTTCTTTTTATCATCCATGTTACTGCAAGCAACTAACAGCCCAGCATAAGTTTGATAGTTTGGCAATAGACCATCACTTTTAATATTTTGTAACAAAACTTTAATATTTTTCCACCCATCCCTGTGGACAGCCCATCCATGTATTATCTTATTGTAGCCTTCAATATCAAATTTATGACCATGTCGACGGTGATAGTTAAATAAGTTAAAAGCTTGAGTAATCTTTAAAATAAATTAAAACATACAACAATATTATTAATATGAATTTATATTAACTATATACAACATATACATTTTATAGTGCCTATTTATAATAATGCCTTAAATTTATTTAAATACTGAACTTAATGTGTATTTAGATATTGAACTTAACGTGTATTTAGATATTGAACCTAATGTTTATTTAAATTAAAAACAAATATGACTAAATATTAGCTTATAATTTATGATATTTTTTTGTTTTACACTTTTTTTTATTTTGACTTTTGAGTATTATTATAGATAATTAATTTTAAGCCTTTAAATGTGTTTAATCTGTACTTGCACATTGTATATTTTTTCATGTGCATAAAAAACCTAATTTTTTCCCATGAAAAAATAATTTCAACTTTTTCAGTAAACAATTTTTCATTGTTAAGTGAAAAATTGATAAATGATTGAGGTAAATATACCAGTAATTGACCTCTTAAGGGATTATCCATAATTTGCACAACGCTAAATTTATTTAAAGAACAGAAGAGATTTAGAAACAGCTTGTTTCAGCCATTTTCATTACTTAATAAACTTAATGATCTATTTTCATTTTTTAACTTAAAGCTCTGCAAGGAAAAACTTTTGATTTTGTTTTTGTTTTATTTATTAGTGAAATTTAGCATTGCGTAATTTATGGACGATCTCAAAAAAAAAAATTCCATATGATTGTCCATATGAAAATAATTCCATATGAATTCCATATGTCTTTAAGATTGTCTGCAAATTATGTAGTCTTAATATTAACTTTTAACTTATTCTTAAATGTTCAAACAACCTACTATATTTTTGTTTTTTTAAAGCATGACTTTATGTTTGTAATTGACCCTTTAAAAATATTTTTCAGTATTTGACCATCCAATACTTTAGTAGTTGACCATATGTTTAATAAGAGAAAATTGAAAGCAGTTATAATACTTTTTATTTTATTTCAGTGAATATAACATATAGTAAAGATATATTAAAGACAACAATTTATTACAACTGAAATAATGAATAAGCATTAATTTCTAATATAAGGTATGACCTACATCAAGAACACAAGTTTGGATAGTAGATTTTATTTTGTATTTGTTCCTTTATATATACAAGTTTATCTTCCCGAATGTCTGAACAGGCATTTCAACATTTCATTTTTATCTCGCACTTTTTTCCCTGGAAATTAATCCTGACATACTCTTCAATTACAAAGTCTTTTCCAGTGTAATTTTATCTTAATCTGAAGAATCTTTACACCAGTTAGTTACCAGTTAGTTACCAGTTAGAATCTTCACAATTGCTAAGCTTAAGAATGGAAATTGATGAGTCTGATGCTTCATACTGTTTCATAATTTTTTGCTTACTTTTCTTTTTCCTTTTTTCTTCCTCATTTTCTTTTGTTTTCTCTTCTTTCTTTCCAATTTCAGCTGCTCTTTCTTGTTAAAAACATATGAAAAAAGGTGGTCTGGTACATCATAAAAACATGAAACATGCATATTATGACAAGATAGACAGAGGAATTAATGAGTAATTGACCACCCTGTCAATTACTAAATTTTCGAAATTTTCTGATCCATTATTTGTTTAAATTGTGAGGGTGTTAAATAATTATATTTATTTAACGCCCTCACAATTGACTACAGATGGACAGTAGACAAACAATAAATAACTTTCAATTAGTATAAACATATCTGTTTTAAAATACAATCATCTAATATTAAAATAAAAGTTACTTATCTTTTTAAACTGACCTTGTGACACATCCTTAGCAAGTTGTGGAAAAAAATACAAGAGCGTAGCACATTAACAAAGACATTCAGTATTTGTTTAAAGTTGCCAAATGTTTGCTGCATTTACATAGGTACAGCCAAAGGCAAAGAGAGAAGTTTATCCCTGCTTTTAAAATCATTCTACCAGAGTAGGGTTTATTTTAACAATGTTCAACTAGTGTCCTTTAACTATTTTACCTTAAGAAGTTATTTTTTTTTAATTTAAATATTTTTTAATTATGCACCTTTTTTTTAACATTTTAAATGTCAAGTACAAAATGTTAAGCTGTACTAAGTGTAATGTATCATGGAATTTATTAAACATTAAATACTAAAACTAATAAAAACATCTAGATCCATACTATCCATGCTAAATTGAGATAAATAAACACGAGTTGCAAATTGAAGCCAAATATATAATAATAGGAGAACAATGGCTTAACTTTATGCCAATTATATAAACACAAAAAAAGCATTTGTTGATGTATTTTTAGACTTAACTAATCCTGATGTTAAATAGTTTAAATGTGAAATATCCCAATATTCTATGAAAATGTGAAACGTCTCAATGTTCGAAGAATGTTAGCCGAACAAAGAATTTCATAGTAAATTTGTCAACAAAATTTATTATCAACTTTGCTACAGTGATCTGAGAAAATATCTCTTGCCCAATAATTCATTTTTCCATTATTATCAATATTTTTTTTAAGATTAGAATATCTTGAAACAAATTGTTTTCTCTTTGAATTGGGTTGATTGCTGCAATTAGGTTCTTTTGTTTTCTATATGTATTCTTTCATGAACCATATACTTGATTCTTAAGTTTAAACAGATTTTTTTTTTGGACAAAATCACACATGCTAAGTATCGGATTGTTTAATAATGTCAGCATCATCTTTTGCTTGAGTTAAGCATAATTTAGCTTAACATTATTCCTCTTCAAGACTTACTTTTTATGAAAGTGATTTTTATTTTTTATTAAAGTATTGGAAAATAAATGTTGCAGATTTTCTTCTGTGAAAATTTTTTTGCAAACTGCTTTCATTTTTATGATAAAAAACTAATTCTTTATATAAAAGTGCTTTCTCCTAAACTTTTATAGAAATATTTAAAAAAAGTGTGCAAATGAGGTTTGTTTTTATTATCTTTAGATTATTGCAGCACACTCTTTAGATAATTTTTCTATTTATAAGTCTAGTTATTTGTAATTCATTCTTTAGTTCTGTTTTAACCTTAAACTTTTAACTAAAAACAGATTATTTGAGTTATGGATATTTTTGAACAAGTTATTTGATATTTGAGTTATTGATATTTGAATCTAGATGTTTGGAAGGGATAAAAAATATTTTTTGGGTGGAATATTTGAATTGAACATTCATTTAATTTTCCGAAATTCATTCATCTTCCAAAATGATAAAAGAAGTGAAATAATTTTTTAGATTATCCAATAGCTTGCCAAAACTTTGAACTTTGGAACAGCTTTTGAATTTTGGTTTCAGTCATGGTATGGATATCTTTTTGGTTCTGGTCTCAATAAATAAAAAATCACTATTGGTTAATCACTATTGGTGATTATGGTTAATCACTATAGGTAACCTGAAGATGTTTTGATTTGAGGGACTCCTAGCAATATCTTTTGCCTTGAAAAGTTAGTACTATTTCCAATTTTTTTTTTTTAATTAATTTTTATTCACCTATTCGAGGCCATGAAGGCCACTACAGTCGATGAGGCTACTTTAGTTGAGGTTAAAATCCACTCATAACTCCGAAATATGAACTTGATAAACAAGGCCAAAACGAGTACCAAAATGTTGCTTGATATCTTCGTTTTTTTCTCTCCTGAAAGTTTCTATTGCAGCGAGGTTCAGTGCTCTTTTTTGAAGACAACAGCATAATTTTATAAACTATTTAGTATTGGCCATTATTTTATCATTATTTGTTTTTTTTTAAACTTAATATCTGAAAAAAAAAATGTAAGAGCAAAAATTTAGAAACTTCATGGACAATGATAATCAACTTTTTCCTGATGAAAATTTTATACATATTATTTTTTTCATGATTGGAGCAAGAAATGAAGTTGGAAATTAAACAATTTGAAAATGTAAAAACTAGGGCCATTGATACACATATATCAATAACAATATTAGACAGAATTTTCAGACAGAAAATTTTAAAATAGTTAGACATGATTAAAAGCAAGATAATGCACTGTAAAAATAAAATAAAATCAACACAAGATAAATAAAATAATTACTATGAATAAAAAAATAGTACCAATAATACACATAACTAAGATTTAATATTACAAATAAAAGCAGTTACCTCTCCTAAGTATATATAAATATCACATTCAGCCAGAACATTGTTTTCAGCTTGATGAGTTAACTGATTATTTTCAGCATACTTTGAAGTTAAAGTTATTTTAACATTTTTCTTTTTTTTAAGTGTATTTTCTGTTTGATCAACGTCATTTTCATATATTTTTTCAAGATCATCATCTTCTACATCCTCCATTTTTTCATAAAGCCTAGATTTAAGTAATTCCAAAGTTTTTTCATCTTCAATGTCATGTTCAATGCTTTTCCAAAAACTCTCAGCATCATAATTCCCTTCTTGAACAGATTGTTGGGAACAACTTTTTGTTTTTGAAAAATTGGTTACATTTCTTTTTCCAGACCTACTTCTATACACTGATGATTTGCTGAGATAGTTACAGTGCCAATCTGGAAATATTTGAAATAAATAAAATTAATAATTATTTTCTAAAAGCAAGATTTCACATGCTGTTACTAGTTATCTTGATACCCTAAAACTTCCAGAAAAAAACTGGTTACAGTAAAATTCAGTACACAAAAGAAGTTAATATTTCTTAGATTATTTCATTGTTAAAGACTAAAATTAGTTACCTTGTGATCGATAAAAGACAATTTTCAAATTATTACATGCTTTGCAAAAGCCAAAAATTGAGCGAATCATGTTTGAATCTACTTCATTATAATACATACATTGCATTTATTCCTTTATTTTGAGACAATTTAAAAACAGAAATAGCTATAAGTTGTTGACAAATAATCTTTGACAAACAACTTTAACCATTGAAAACTTAGAAAGACATAGATTTATATAATCTATAACTGCAATATTAATACCATATTCCTTTACTATTACAAAATATTTTTAATTTTACTTATTTAACTCCAAAATAAAATATTTTTAACATATTTAAAAAATTTTTCTTTAAAGCATGAATAAATATGCATAAAAACCAGGCTTAAAAGAGTTTAAAATAAAATACTAGAAAAATATTTTACCAAAAAGTCCAATAAAATATAAATTACATAATAAATACTTTCTTCAAATCTTTGACAGAATAAGTATCTTTGGTTTTAGGGCAAATTATATCACCATTACCCTCAGATAATAGACTTTGTATGGAACGTTCTCCATAAACATAGCCATTAGGTAACATTAATGGATGGTTATGTTCATTCATCTGTTCGCCACTAATGCTGCAAATTAAACGAGACTGACTTGAATGAGCAAATGGCAATGGCTTTGAAAGAGTATTGAAAAGTCTATTACAAACTGGACAGTCTTGACATTGCTCCTCTTTATGAAAACAATGAGGTGTTTTAAGAGATGCTAATCCGCATTGCAATACAACTTCCATAATAGATTGTGAGTCTAGTTGATGTAATGCAAAATTCTCCTTGCGAAATTGTTCCACCAGTAAATCCCATCGTGTGTCACTAAACAAATCTTTATAACGTTTTACCTCAGTATCTACTTTAAAAGCCAAAATCGCCATCACTGTTTTTTGTAGTTTATAAGAATCAGTAACATCACTTAAACTACCAAAGTGTTTTCGAGAATATAAAACAGCCTGCAATCTTTGATTATTTTTGACAAGTTCAATAAACTCTTGAACTCTAACATTTAACTCTAAAGTACTTTGGAGCTTTTTTAATTTTGACTTATTAGCATGACACCATTGTAAACACAGTGCAGGATTTTTTTCTTTCAATGACTTTTCAATATCCCGTGCAACTAAAAAAACATCCAAGTCTACATACTCCTTCACAAATGATTTTTCTGCTAATTGTATAGCTGTTTCATGATAACCACAATGAAGAAAATAATTTACAAGCATTCGATCATGTAAATTTCGTCTGGCAGCTGTACTGCTTTGATTTTTACTTACATGCTCCAGTCTTTGTTGACACGTGTTAAGCCTAACTTCTTCCTGATCAACACAGTGAATTGACTTTTCTTTCAGACTGGTTAGATGTTCTAGCAAAACATCAAATTCCTTTGTAACTTCTTCAATTGATACCTTATTTTTTGAAGATACTTTTTTCAGTTTGTCACTAGTTGAGTTGACATGAGATACTTCACGATCTATAACTTTTTGGGCATTTCGAAATGTTTTGTTAAGTAATTCATAAGGGACAATAAGCGTTGAGTATTCCAGCGATTTTATATTTGACATTATTTGAGATCTAAATTTTTATAGAATTATTACTAAAATTTAATGTTGTACAAAAAAAAATATTATAAAAATACTTAATAAAATAAATTTTTATTAATATTATATGGCTATCAAGTTTTTTTATAGATGTTAATAAGAATGTTAATAAAAAATTTGATTTTAATAAAACATATATCATTCTAATAATATACATCAATACTGTTAGACATTTTGTTTTGAATTTATATATATATACATATATATAGGAAGTGACCAGGGTCCCAGCTCTGTCCCTGGTCAAATATGGGGTTTTTTACAACCCCAGCCCCAGCTAAAAAATAATTACAAATTTTTAACTTTTTTTTTCATTTTTTCAAGCTATCAAAATTAAATAATATATCTATTATGAAAGGTAAAAATATAGGAAAGCCATGCATATGTATTTAAATATATTTTAAAAATTAATAATATTATTATTGCTATTATTACTATTATTATTATTATTATTGTTATTATTATTATTGTTATTATTATTATTGTTATTATTATTATTGCTATTATTATTATTATTATTATTATTATTATTATTATTATTATTATTATTATTATTATTATTAATATTAATATTAGTTTATTTTTGTTTCAGAAAAATATTCTTAAAATAATTTTTGCTGGTTTAACAGCTCATTACCATCATGTGTATATATCTTATACTGTTGAGTTAGGTGAGAATGATGACATCATACTGAAATAGCCTGCTGCCGGGGGCTTCAGTACATACATCAACTGACAAATAGCCTGACTCGCAGTGGAGGGTGTTATATAGCCTAAGGGTTTGGGATGGGTTAGCAACCTTTTCATTCATTAATCTTCGTTTTCTTCTTCTTTTTCTATATTGATTTTTTGCTCATCTAAATCTATATTGATTTAGATGAGCAAAAAAAGTGAGCAATTGCACATATAAATATGCTATAGTATATATATATATATATATATATATATATATATATATATATATATATATATATATATATATATATATATATATATATATATATATATATATATATATATATATATATATATATATATATATATATATATATATATATATATATATACCTGGTTGCTCACTACATATAAAAACTTACAAAATAATAAACTACAGAATACACTCTCAATCCAAAAAAATAATAAAGTTATCTTAAATTTTTCATATAAAAATATCTTTTATAATAAGTTTAAATATATAAAAATATTATTCAGATTTACACTTTTAAGAAAATAAATCTTTTTTTTCTTTATCTTTATCTAAAATTAATTTTACAGTTACTAAATCTTGAACTGCCATTCCATTTGATTTAAAAACTCTTGTTGTATTCCAATCAATATTTATTGTTTTATTTATGACATTACCAAGCTCACCATGTATTTTTGCATTAGATAAAATAACATCACCTGCTGATGCATATGCTCCCTCTTCTGTGTCAGTAAATATTTGACTAGTCAGCATAATTTCATCATCCAATTCCCTCTGATTACATAAAGGAGCACCAACTGCAATTATAAGACAACCATGTTTTATCCACTTTTTGAATAAAACTGGTGAAATACTTGTTGTAGCAGTGACAATTATATCTGCATCTTTGACAGCATTTTTAACTGAATCACAAGGAATGCAATTATATTTTTTTGCAAACGCGTGACAATTTTCTTTAGTACGACTAAATACACGAATTTCAGAAAACTTTTTATATGCTGACAATAATTGAACATGGCTTGCTCCTTGATGACCAGTTCCAATTATAGCCAAAATTGTGTCAGATTCCTTGCATAAATGTTTTATTGCAACTGCTGATGCAGCAGCTGTTCGTCTATCTGTAACGGAAATGGCATCTACAATGGCATTAACTGATCCACTAATAGTATCAAACACAACTATTACACCTTGAATAACTGGTAAACCAAAATTGATTTCATTTAACTGATTGATAGTAAGAATTTTAAATGAAGCAATCTGGTTAGAAAGAGAAATACACGGTTTCATCATTAAACTGTTGTATTCAGTTATATTTACAGCCATTCTTTGAGGTTGAATAAAACCAGCTTGTTTTGTGCTAAAAGTAACAAAACTTTCCTCTATCACTTCGATAAGTCGTTCAGATTCATTCGATAAACATCTATTAACATCATTTGCAGAATAAAATTTGGGACCCAAAAATTCCATCGTTTACTAAATTTAATGATGATACTAAATTATAAATGTCTTTTTTCATATGATTTCTATTTAATTTTTTTAAATATTATAATCAAATTTGGATGGGTTAAAAATTCCTCGCGGATTGTAAGACCGATTTGAGCATTATGTTATCTAATTCGAACACCACGTTAAAACCGTTGTACCATAATAACAGCGGTACGAGAATAAAGTTCGGCGAAATAAATATACGCGGAAATAGGAATATAATTTTATATAAGGGGTCGTCCATAAATAACGTCGCATAATCTTTGACAATTTTTTACCCTTTCCCTCCACTATCCCTCTAGCAACATATCGTCACGTTTACATTACGCAAGAGATTTATACCCCCTCCCTAAAAACATTTTTTGGTGATTTTAAATACGATAATATTTTTTTACTTTCTTAGGTGCTTTTAGTTATCTTATGAATACATTTTAATACATATTAAGGAAGTATGTCCTACTTTGATGTGTTTTGACCCATATCCACGCCAAGCCAATTGTGTTTAGATTTTTACACCAACAAATCGTTAGTGTCTTACGTATTATTTATCAAAAAATCTAAGCCCGATCAGTTTGGCTTCATAGTAATCTGGTAATTTTAAAAAATAACTTTGAAGTAGAACCATTAAGGCAGATTTTACATAATTCGTTCAACTAAATATTTAAATATGATACTTTTCATCAAAATATACTGATTGATGTTTGAATAAATAGTTTTGTTACAAGTTGAAAAATTAAATTTAACCGCTTGAAAATTTATTAAAATGCGGCTAAACGCATTGCATTCTGTATCAAGAGTACTGAAAGTGAAATATTATTTGGTTTTAATTTCATAACAAGAAGAATCCATATACTTTTAACTCTATCCCATCTACAACTTTTAATAAGAGAATGTATATCAAGTATGCGATTAATCGCATACTTATATAAATACATACATAAATATATAATTTTATATTTTTATATCATGTTTATTTTCTTCTAATACATTTATAATATTTTTCGAAAATAAAGATGAGCACCAAATAGCCAACTAAAAATAATTAGTTTTGCAAGTGTTTTGAATGATAATACTTCGATATAATTGACACAGTGAAAAATAATCAGGTTTGGCAAAAACCCAGGTTTTTTTTTAAAAAAAACCCGGCCCAGTTGTTTTTTTTAATGGTAATTTTGGGTTTTATTGGGTAAATTTGGGTTTTATTTTTATTTCGTATCTGTTAAATTTTGTTGTTGTTGTTTAATGAAATAAAAATTAGTATAATTTTCTACTTTAGCTTTATTTAAAAAAAAAAAATTATAATCTAATTTAATGATTTATAAGAAGAATTTAAATTACTTTGATAAAGATTTTTAAACATAATTTAAAACTAGCAAAAAATTATTTAACGTTAAACTTAAATGTATTGATTTATTTTAGATTTATAAGTAATATTTTTTATATCTAAATATTATTATATTAAAAAAAAATGTACATAAGGAATGGGCTGGAAAATGGGGGAAAGTAACTGAAGTTGCTATTGAATTTCAAATTTAAATTTGAAATTCAAGTAAACAAACCTGTTTCTCCCCGCAGCTGTCTTGTTCATAGAGGCTAGAATTTCAGAGTTAAAAAGTTGAGAGAGGGTTGTAACCACAATAAGGTAGCCTCCTCGACTATTGTAGCTTTTACATCCTTTGAAGGTGAAGATAAAAAAAAAAAGAAAGATAAAAAAGGTGATAATCTCAAAATATTTGAATAAAAATTGTGATAATGTATTTCTAAATAATGATTCAAATATTAGTAAACTTGCTATGATAGCTTGACCATCATCTTAAGTTGGAACAATTTCTTTTGCATCTGTTAGTTTTATAAGTTTGCCAAAACCTTGTAAGAAGCAATAGCTGATGTCATCATACACAATATTAATTCAATATCATTAAAAACCTAACAATATTTAGAGAACAGTCTTCAAATCCAATTCAAAAAACTTGCGTTGTTTTAGATCAAATATTTATTTTTTTTAAACTAAAATTTTCAATACAAAATAAGTCATTATTGATCTTAAGGAAAAATAATAATTAAAAATAGGATTAAATAATATTAAAAAATAACTTTTTTTTCATAGGTTTAATGCGGCCGTGGCGCAGTGGTTACAGCGCTTGCCTTAAAAGCAGGAGATCCAGATTTCAAACGAGCTCTGGACATATTTTCGCGTCACGGTAAGAAGGGAGGCGTGAACTTCCTGGTTAAATGCACTTCCGCAGTGCTCTGTGACAAGACTGTTAGGTCTTCTTAGGGCACCTAAATAAAAAAAAAAAAAAAAAAAAAAAAAAAGAAAAGGTATAAGCCTAATGATTAAAAATGAAGACGCCAGAGGCCGCCTGCCTCCATTGCCCGGTTGTAACCACGAGGAGGATACTAACAAGCATGTTACATTTATACCGCCAAAAGAGTCTTTCCAGGAGCACTTAATTATTTTTAGCTTTGCAACCGAAGAAAATGGTTTTACAATCATTATCCTGATTTTATACCTTGGTTTACTTTGCTTAAATTAAATGATTGATGCGTTTTACACTAGGATGTTAAACAATCAAATTATATCAACAATATTGTGCAGTGATTGGTGGTCTATCATTAACCCAAGAAACAAAAAAACAGTTCATAAAAAACTACCTGCAGGAATTTTCCAATTTATTTCTAGATCAATTGAAAGATTATTTACCTATTTTGGTTTAGCTGGTCAAAAGTCAGAAATAAAATATGTGAGAAGTGAAAAGTTAAAAAAGTTTGTACAAATATATACACAGTATCAAAAATAGATAGTTGATTTTGAAAATGTCAAAAATGTAATAATTTTTTTAACAAAGTGCATATATTCTAAAAAATCCTACTTAATAAATCTTTTAACTTATTTGGTTCCCGAATATATCATTGTGAAATTTTTTTTTATTAAAAATATATTGTTTGAATTGAAACTTTCCCTTTACAGCTAGCTACCATGCATTTTCAGAAATGTTGGTTATAATAGTTCATAAAATTATAAAATATTTTTAAAATAACCCAATAAAAACCAGATTGCCCGGGATTTATTGGGTTTTTTTAGACGGTTTTTATTGAGTTTTTTTGGGGGAGTTTTTAAATGCCAGTCCTGAAAATATTCTGTATCCGTTTTAAAAGTTTTATTTGAGTTTTATTTCATATGTTTAATATTTATATTTTTTAAAGTTTCACAGAATCAACGGGCATATAAACTGACTGATATAGCCGTATTTGCAGTGTAGTTGCATACAAAATATGGGCTTGGCAAGAATTTTTGGTTTAGCGCCAAAACCACCATGGACCCAAATTAATTGGTTTAAAAGCTACCTCTTAAATAGACAGCAATACATTTCTTATACTTGCAAAAAAACTAACAATATGAGTATATCTTGAGGAGTACGATAAAGATCTATATTAGAACCGCTCTTATTTTTAGTATATATCAATGATTTAAGCATATCTTGTAATGTATTAGACACACTCTTGTTTGCAGGTGATAACAATCTATTTTATGCTTACCATGATTAAAACTGTAAAGACAGAACTACTAACTGCTGAATGGGCATATTTACTTAAATTTAACTAAAACTAATACTTTTTTACATCGCTATCATAAACGAGACAAAAGTCTATTAAAACTTCCAAGTTTTTGTATTAACAATTACAAAGTAAAAAGAGAAGTATCATTAAAATTTCTAGGCTTACTCCTTGACAAAAATGTAACATAAAGAAGTTGTATAAAATACATTGAAGGTAAAATATCACGGAGCACAATAAAGCGAAAAACTAAAAAAGTGGCCATCAGTGGATTTTATAAACCATTCTCATTAATTTTTTTTTACAACTTATTTGAAAACATATCAAATGATAAGAAAAAAATATTTTTTTGGTTCTCTTTATTATAGCATCAAAAATAAAGAATACAAATCTGGGTAAAATCACCTCTTCCTCCCCCAAATGAAGGGGTTGTAAACTTTACTTGGTCATTACTTCTGAACACCAAAAGATTTTTTTATGAAATTTGAATTCTATCGATAAAGTTAAATATTATTTTAGGTTTTAAAAATAATTATGTTTAAAATACTGTCCTTCATCTCAAAGGGTTGGGGCGGCACATCCTCATTTGACAATTGTATTAAAATAAAGAATTTGGGAGTTCACACCATGCCTGGAAAAGTGTTTCATCCGTATTTCTTTGATCATGAATACTGATGTTGTTAACCTGATGTAATTATATTATGTTAAATGACACATGACGCTTAGTGGTTTGTATTTAAAGTGGATAACTGTTAGTAATGTATTTGTACGGTTTTGTGTGTAATTGCTAATATACGGTTAATGTGAAATTTTAAGCTTGTTCATTTGGGTTTCAATAGTAATTTTTAAGGTATGTGAATTAACATTAATTATGATTAGAATTGGTAAGAGGCAAGTTCTCGTTGAGTAAAGAAAAGAAAAAATTTTAATCTAATGTTGTGTTTATGTGAAAAACAAAACATGAGGAAGATTAATGTTTTGGATAAAATCAAAGAATTTGGAATTAATAATCACAACTACATTTTTAATTGCTAATTTTATATAAATAAGTACATATTTCTAAAAATATAAAATATTGTTTTAGTTTGATTGGTGACCAAAGAACTTGCCTGTGCTGCTGCGTTAAGCGCTAAATCAAGACCAGGAAAAGCAGACTTTTCAAAAGTTATTAAACATTCTGTCAAAAATCCAGCTCTAGCTAGGAAACTTATTAAAAATACAAAAACGAATCCAATAAATGGCGAAGGCAGAAGAGATTCTTGCATTAAAAATAAATTGTGAACTCAGTAATTCACAATATCAAGTTCTTAGAAACTTTTCAGAATAAATGAGCTAAATGAATAAGCAGAATGAATGAGCAGAATGCAGAGATATACCCTTCAGTCAAAATAATACTTGATGCAAAATCCAAATCCAAAATCAGAATATTTTGAAACTTTAGAAACATCTGTCAAATGTTATGTTCAGTCAATGGTGAACCTCACTATATAAAGAATGAATAGAGCCTTTAGAGCTGGAATAAATAGAGCCTCATCTCAAAGTGTATATAATCAAAGGTTTGATGACACAGATCTTGCAACTGGA